GATAGAACTTATTAAATACAAGGTCTGATTGGCTTTTATTTACTTTAAATCGCTCACGCTGTTTTAGTAACACTAACCGAAGTACTTTCCTGAATCTAACCACTCAATCCATTCAAAAACAGTTCTGTACCAGTCGTGCTGCACTTAAGTATAAACTAGAGAAACAAATTAGTTGTATCAGAGTGTATTTAGAGGAAAAATGCACATTTAAACACATAAAAACATCACAGCCAACCAGCGCACCTGTGAACTCATCGAAATGAATAAAAAATTGAGGATGAAATTCATTCACAAACTTGAGCTCAGACACGGTTACTGCAGATCAGCGGATCCTGCTGCCAACCCCCATCTGCTATCGGCTCAGCTGATCCAGCCGACACATGCAGATGGTAAATATCACGTTAATGAAACCAATTCAAGCTTCTTTCGCCTCCTCACAGTCGACTTCACAGAAGTGGAAATTGCAAGATTAGAGTTGAAAATGTCTTTTGAGAAAAAAGTCGAAATGTGGAAATTATTGTTGTTGTTTCAGGACAAACTACCATGGCTGCTTCTATATGGTCCTCATCTCAGTACTAGAAATCAAGGAAGAGGCACGAGGAGAGGATTTGAGGCAGGAGGCATTAACAAAACGAGACATCCTTGCTTCTGAGCTGTCATTTTAAGACAATGTCAATGTAGAATGAGGAGTGCACAGCTTCTTAATCGCTTCATTGTGGGGGTTTTCAGACTACTGTTATTTATGATCTCTGTCAGATGAGCATGACAGTGTTCATGAAAACAAACCGTTTATATTCAATTCCCAGTGTGACAAGAATGCACACATAATATATTTTCCTTCCTTTAGTCATCACACCCACAAATGTTGAAGGGTAGAGATGATTTCCTTTGATAACCAACACAACCAGTGAGCAATAAACACATGTGTTTGTAAAATCCTTCCACCACCGTGCTTTAAAGATTCCAGCTGTTTGGCACAGCTGTTTTGTATGACATGGTTGAAAACACTTTCTCAAGGTGCGCCTGGTCATCCTCGATATCCTCGCCTTACAACTCGTCTCTCTATCGATTGCTCCCGTCTCCAGATACATTTTAGAGCCCGATCCCGATATCCATCTTAAGACCTAAGCACAAGAGCATCACAGAGGGTACCTGACGTCCCCTTTGTATACAGCTGTAAAGTCCAAGAGCACTTCAGCACATGGCTTTACACACTTTGCTGACTATCTAAAGGGATGGAGACTGCATGTGTTTTTAAATCTTTTCTTATAGCGAGAACGACAGGTACCTCATTCTCTCTAGTATTTTTCTCATGTTTCTTTACTAAATAAAACATGAAAAACAATGATGTACAAGCATGGTTTGTGATAAAACCAGTAATTTTATGTCAGCTTTCATCCTGTAACCCTCAAGGAGTCTTCCCTTGTCACGCTTCTTTGTATACAATTTTAATGCCTGTGTGACGTCCCCTAGTAGTGTAACAACGCTGTGAACTGAGGGTAAATGCATATGGGAAAGTCTGCAGAAATGCATAAAGTGTGCATAAAGGGCTCGAAATGTTTCTTGTGGTGCCCTTGCACACTTTGACATTGACTTACTGTAACAGTGACTCAGTGTGGACACTGAGACCGGGCTGACGAGATGAGACGTTCTTCAAGGTGATTCACAGAGTGAATGAGGACAGAGGATAGAGGAGACAGGAAGGCGAGGGACAGAGAGATGAGAAAAGCCCTCTCTCCATGCGTGTCTGTCTGGGTGAAGTTCCTGAAACTGACCAATCAACTGGCACATCTGAAACTCATCCTCTCATTAAGATCCAGCAGTATTTGAACCTTATATTTCAGCCTGTTCAGTCCTACATGGCACTGACACTGCAGCTCAACTAGCTGTAGTCTCCAGTCACAGTCTGCAGTCAAGTTATGCCTTCTTTCTGTGTCATGGGTTGCTCTCCATTGCTCATCAGTGAGCCAATTGCCTTGCACGCTTTCCACCATCATCTCTTCCTGGATAAAGCCTGCCTGTCTGACTCTCTGCTCCAATCAACACCCACCAGCCAGCCTTTCTCTACGCTCTTCCCACTGCTTCTCCTGCCAGCTCTAACCAGCCGTGCACCAAGCCTCGTCTGCTTCCACTCCAAACTATGGCTACTGATGCAACGTCTCACCAAAGGTGGCCAGTGTAGCGTGATTCCATTAGTAGTAAAATAATACAAAAAGATCTGTTATTTTTAACCATTTCTGCTTCTTACTTACAACTTGGTGCTTTTAAAGAGCAGAATTTCACAAATAGTCAAGTAAGATGACACCTCTGATTAGATCATATTTCAAATGAGCACTCTCACACTGCCACATATTATATAAGGATCACAGACAGGAAAAACTCCTGTGCAGATGTCTGTGGTGTTACCGATGGCTTCTCTCGCACCGACAGTGACTTTATCTCCTAAGTGGCCCTGTCCTACATCTTAGAGTGGGTGAGCTGGTCTTTCTAATGCGGAAATCTCTGTCCAATCTGCCCCCAGTCTTATCGGGCAATGTTAGCACAGATGTAAGCGGATCATTTTTCACTTTGCCGGTGACCCAGAGACCTCTCTCCAATGCCTTCTTGATTTCTCCTTTCAAAAAAGCCTGTGATGCAGGACATGAGGAGGTGAACGAGATAAACATTGCAGTAAAAGCTTTTGGAATAAGCTGCATTTTACCAAATATTTGGCAACTGTTTTTAATTCCCAATTGGACGTCATAGAGGTTTATTTATTTATTCATTCATTGTTTTTATTTAAAAAATGCACGTTTTTCTTTATTTGCAATTCTGGTAGACAGTTAATCTCCATTTCTTTCTATAATGATACACGTGCACGTATATTTTTAGCAGCAGTGACCTCGCTGAGATCTGCACAGCTACAAGAAAAAGATGGTGTGATCTGTTCTTTGAAATTCTGCACTTTTTCATCCCTTTGGGTAGAGCTATAAGCGCTGTTGCTGGGTTGGAAACTCAATTTCCCATGGAGCTCAAAGAGAAGAGACTAACACTAAAGCTGCCAAGGTTTGGGATTTCATTTTCTGTATAGCTTGGTTGGTAGAGTATATATCAGCACCGGCACTGTCAGGATATAAGACTTAGTTCCCACTGGGGCTGGCTATACTCAAGATGTATGCACTTCTGCTACTGTAAACCACATTAGCTGGAAGAACCCACAAAGTGTTGTAAGTTAAATACTACGCTCTGCAGGAACGGCCGCACCTGATGTCACATCTTATCGGAACGAGACATCTTTTCATTCATTCATTAAAAAAAAGTAATCTCTAAGAAGCATTATCAAAGAGAGGAGCTCAAATATTATTGTAAAACTAGTA